AGCACTGCGTCCAGCTCTGGAGCCCTCAGCATAAGAAAGACACAGACCTGTTGGAGCAGGTCCAGAGGAGGGCCACGAAAACGATCAGGGGGATGGAACACCTCTGCTATGAAGAAAGGCTGAGAGAGTTGGGGTTGTTCAGCTGAGAGAAGAGAAGCCTTCAGGGAGACCTTATCACAGCCTGTCAGTACTTAAAGGGGGCTTATAAAAAAGATGGCGGCAAACTTTTTAGCAGGGCCTGTTGTGACAGGACACGGGGGAATGGCTTTAAACTAAAGGGGGGTAGATTTAGACTAGATATAAGGAAGAAATTTTTTATGCTGAGGGTGGTGAAGCACTGGCCCAGGTTGCCCAGAGAGGTGGTGGATGCCCCATCCTTGGAAACATTCCAGGTCAGGTTGGACGGGGCTCTGAGCAACCTGATCTGGTTGAAGGTGTCCCTGCTGATTGCAGGGGGGTTGGACTAGATGACCTTTAGAGGTCCCTTCCAACCCAAACTATTCTATGATTCTATGAAATACTTACCGCACAAAATCTCTCAGGGGCTGGTTCTCACATATATAAAGAACCTCCTCTTTTCTGCACTTCAGCATAGTTGTGATTTTCTCTATGATCTTCAGGGCCACTACAGTTTTTCCTGTTCCTGGTAGACCATAAACATACAGCTTCTTAGTTTTGTGAAGATTTTCTGACAGCAGCTGGTACTGTTTGATGGTCAAGAGGTTCAAAAACTCAGAACCAACACGGTCACTTAAAAAGGACTTGAAAGTCAGCAGAGCTACTGTGAGAGCATGCAAGAGGGCCTTCAAGTTGTTGCTGTTGATTAGGCTGTAGTTTTGGGGATACATTTCTTGAATATTCAGATCCCATTCTTCTCCACAGTTAATTTTGGGAAGCAAAGTCAGTAGCTTTGGTATTACACACAATTTGTGAATATAGCCCCCAGTGTTGACTAATTTTTCCTTCAGCCTCCAGGCTATGCGTCTTGAGTATTCAAACAAATCCTCTGAGATAGGATGCTTACAGATTGTATAGAGGATAGGTGGCCTATCCTTGGCTATTAGGAGAACATCACAAATTATGTCTTGGTTTTCTGGCAAGCCGACCTCAACAGCCCAGCTTCTGGAAAATATCACAACTCCCTCAGAAAGCTGCTCCAATTGATTTTTCATCAGAATATCCAACCCTGGATGCTCCTGGAGGAGATCTTCGCAGAGTTTTTCTGGAGTATATATTATGCTGTGGGATCTCACTAACAAGGCAGAGGAAAAGAAACGGTTAGTGTTAGTATAAGACATGCAAATCCAGCCCTCTGAAATGATTCTGTGGGAATTAATATTGGTGAAAGGCTACAAATACAGACCATAGCTGCCTGAAATACCTTTCTTGCCTCTTCAAAATTTTCCTTAACCATTCCATGTGTTTCCAGATTCTTTTGCACCGACCACTTCCTCAGGGAACTCAATCCTCATCTCCCACCCAGGTCTCAGTCCCTTTGCTAAAAATGCCAATACAGGACCAGCTGTTGCCAGTCTTGTTTAGGAGACCTGGCGAGTAAACAAAGAAACAGTAATGGCTCAACACAAAAGCCCCTGGACACCTGGCTGATCTTGCAATGCCACAGAAACGTTGGACTGTAACCGGCAGCAGACTCTCCACCCTGGTCCCAGCCCCACTCACTTTATGTATTTACATTGGGCTGATTCCAAGTGACCTTCTCCTCCCGTCTTTCCCATTTTTCACTGGACTGCGAAAAGATGTTGGCATGGCTGTGCTCGGTCCCCAGAGAAGTTCAGCTAGCTGAGCTTCGGCACGTACGCATGTCAATAGGTGGCAGAAGATCAGTCCTTGGGGAAGGGGGTCATTAGGCATTTGAATGCAATGGTGCTGTCAGATCTGCAAATTATTTCCATCTCTTTCACCTGTTTAAAGAATGTCTTCAAACTTATCTTTTACCTTGACCATACCCTTGAGATTCATGTTGTAAACCTACCAGACAGTGAAAGCAATGTGCAGACCTACCTGGAAACAGTTGCTCACAAAGATTATCAACGTTGTCAAGGCCCTGGTGGGAATAAACTGGCTTGGCAAGAGGTGGCCCCTCTGTCAGACTGAGCTCTAGCCTAAAGGTCTCAGAAAACTTTGAAAGATCTGGAAAAAAAGAAATAAAAACGTGTGATACAGCATGAGTATTTGCTGTCCCTCAGTGCAAGAGCCACAAGCTGTCCTTGTGCTGGTTTTAAATCTTTTGCTCTTCTTTAAAATGACATGCAATGCATAGACAGAAATCTTGCAACTCATGTGGACAGCAACTGCGTAGCAACAGAACCGGCTCAGGTCATGGACCGTGGAGCTGCTCTTGGTTTCCTTATCTCATTAGCTGCTGTTGTGACCTCTGTTAGTGATAACCCTTTCACTGCCCAAGAGTTAGCCAATGAACAACTTATCTGTCCATAGCTCTCAGCTTATTAGACTGGCAGCAGCAGTGGAGAATGCCCCTAAAAAGCAGGAGGGAAAGTATAGATTAAGTCTGAAAGCAAATGGCAATTTGCAAATGGCAACTGCCATGGACTATGGCAATTATGTCAAAAAACGTGTGCTGGGGTCTAATCTCAAACACGGTCAACTTGAGGCATGGAGAGCTCATGCTGCAAAAGCAGGAACTAACATTGGCATTAATAAGCTGCTAGTCACCAGGACCTGCTGCAGCCTGAAGCAAGCATTAAGGAATGTAAGCAGCAGAAAGACAGGTATTTAGCAAGGACCTGAAGCAGTCAGACTGGTTTGGTCAGGCCCCCCAAAACACTGAAAAGCAGGTAAGACTGTCTAAGGCAAACAACACTGTCAGGCCAGGAGCAAGAAAATAAAAGGAGGTATCGAAAATGGAAAGGGGTTGTCCTGGCTCTTTTGGACCTGGATCAGCAGCGGTCATCCACGCAGCCCACTCGTCTGCTCTCAGTCTCCTGACGGTGCTGCCTTCCACTAGCCACGAGTCCGGGTCTTCGGAAAAAGCGACGCAAGTAAATGGCTGAACCTTCACAGCGCAGACGTAGCCACAGTGATCTCCAGCCTCGCGGTATACTTTGAAGATTTTTTGTTCATACCTTATGTTGTGTGTATTTCCACTCCCGCAGAAATGGAAGAGGGTTAATTTGTTTTGAATGGAACTGATTAGGCAACGTAATTTTTCAAGGTCCTCATCATCACTGCTGAATCCCAGCACTCTGCTGTTATCATCCACACCGATCCATAAATACCCGCCGCCTGTGTTTGCAAATCCAGTGATATACTGAGGTAATATCTCTTTGACACGAGTCAAAATTTTTTCAGTTGCATAGTGCTTAAATTCCACATGTCCTGACTCCGTGAAAGTCAGCGTCTCTCCATATCGCAGTTGGTCCCTATTAAACAACTCATCAACAGTGTTATTTATAATATTCACGTCTCCTTCAATAGCCTGTGTCTTCCTGATTTTAGCAGGTGGTCCTGGGCTAAGCTCTCCCCTGGCTTCATCTTGCTTTTCTTTAAGGAACAAAAAAGCTTCGGTAGGCTTCATGTGGGAAAGAGAATCACCAGATTTTGCGTACAACCCGGTACTCAGGCTACAGATACGTGGCTTTGCACTTGTAGAGGTTAAGGATGTGTTTTCACTGCTCCAGGTTTTGATAAAAATCAAAAGGTAATTTCCTCGCTGTTCAAAGTCCAGGTATTTTCTCCAGTCTGGAAACAAAAGAAGAGACCGAAAAGTCTCTTCTAAATCTGGTCCAATCTTATCTCTTTTTAAGTTGTAGTTTTCATTTTCAATCTCTGCTTTTACTACACCTCCTCCAGAGTTCAGCAAGGCACACACTGCACAGGCAAGGGTGTATTTTTGATCTTGTTTTGAATTTCTTGGTATCTTTTTTCTTGCTTTTTCACCAAAACATATTTTTCCAACACACAAAACTACTTCAGGATACTTTGTTGCTAAATTAACCCAGACCTTCTGCTGTTGTTGATCATTTTCAAGAGCCATTCTGGGCCTGAAATAATTGTAAAAAAATTGCTTACCATTTATGCTGAAACATCAATCTTCCAAAGACTTCCAAAAACATTAGCTAAACAGTGGCCATCCTTTGAACAATAAATACACCGAGTCACAGAGTTGAGAGCAACAGGAATTTTCCTCCACTTCCAAAATAGAGTGCTTGCTTAAAACCCAAATTTGTCCCCAGTGCCCAGGTGTTTAGTTTTCTGCCCTTGGGCATGAGGGGATGTAGGGACCTTGCTGCCATCTGTCCCTCTGAACACAGAAGCAGCCTCAAATAGTTTACAGGCAGGCTCGTTACTCACTTCAACACCATCCCCTTACATATTCTTGGACTGCATGCCCCCTCCTCCTCCCCTGTAATGACTGAGAAAAGGCTGTGCTTCGATCTTAAGAATCCAGTAATCTTACCAATTAATAATCAATAAATAATAACAACTGACCCTTCTACTTTCAGCTCTATTTGGCCACCCTTGTGGTAAGGCAGCTGAATCTTGGCTGATTGCCAATTGGCACTCAGAATGCAGGCAAATTCGTTGAAATGGTGGCAAACTGCATCTGCATCACATTTAAGCCAATTCGTTAAAATGAAATCCAGCCCCCTTGCTACGCAACACATCTGTGGTACAAAAGCACCTGGAAATAAATGAAAGCGTGCCTAGAAGAGATCTCGCCTGTGATAGTAGCACAGCTGGTTTCCAGTAGCACAGACTTGCTTTCCGTGTGGCTAAATACTAAGCCAGAGAGCTGCAGGGCACAAAAACTCCAACATGCACCTCTACCATATCTGGTACAGGAGACAAGTTTCCTGCCTTGCCTGCCTCTCCTGTGAGTTAGTTCTGCTGAGGAACGTCGCTCTGCTCCTCGTAGCTTTGACTTACGGTACAACTAAAGCAGCAAGGACGTTAGTGTGGGCTAATTTTTGCTACCAGGTAGAGGAATTTTCCCATCCAGTTCCACAAGCCCCCCTCTAGCTTGCTGCAACAGGAGAGCCTGGCTGACTGCTGAGATCTCAGACTGCCCCCCGTGTGACGGAGAAAACGACTTAACCCACCTCATCTTCTTTGCTCTGGGCTAAAACGTCAATATTTGAAATATCAATTTTAAATCCTTAAATATTTAAGTCCCAGAATGATGCGCAGCAGAAATGGGGTACAAAGCATCCGGAGCGTGTTACCTGTTTTCTCCTCTGCCCCTCCCTCTGTTAAAGTCTCTTAGAAACAAAACGTAGCTTGTTGCTGGTTTCACTCTCTGCCGGTTTTTTTTTCTTCTCCTCTGTGTTTCCTGTGACGAAGCACCAGTGTCTGCAGATTTCTGGATCTTTCTAGCTCTATCTGAAGTTTAAAACTAGTTTTTGCTGGGAGCCCAGTCCTCCGCAAGTGTTACTTCCCTCCCCCTGGCACTTTTCCAGCAGCCAAAGTCTACCAGAGAAAAGAGACAATTAAAAAAATAGTTTACAAGAAATCCCCAACTTACAGCATTTACATACGTCATCACTCATTGAGTCTGAAAAGTTGGTGTTCCATTAAGCATTTCGTCAGAGAGATAGTTCTGGAAGCTGGGAAGCAGGATAGCAAGCTAGAAAGTCCTGTGCAGAAGATACAGTCTGTGTATCTTCATTTGCAACATTTGCAATATGAGATTCAATTTTCTTGCCTTTTTGTACCAACAAAGCACACAAAAGGTAATGATTTTATACTGAAATTGTGCCCATATACAACTTTCAGCTGAAATAATTAAAGTTATGGGTTAAAACTGTCTCATAACTTTTCCCCATGGAAGTGATCCATGCAGGGGGCCACTTTGGAGCACCCTCAGTGTCGCCTCCCTCCTTGGGTCCGGCAAAAGCACCGAGATTGAATTTCTTCTGAGAAGACTGAGAACAGGGAAGGTTGTGGGCTTGACCGCAAAGCCTTGAGAAGCTTCGTGCAGCGGTGGCTGAGTGTGCCCTGGGTATCAGCTCAACGAAGTCGCGGGTTTTTTTGAGGGGAGATGAGAGAAAATGAAATAGTGGGGAAAAAGAGCAAGCTAGCACTAGATTGCAGAAACTTGCTTGCAGAACAGGAAGGAAATCAAAACATTCTGTTTGTGGGCAGGATGACAGCTTCGTGCACAAAATAAAAATGCTTTTTAGCTTTTGATTCTATACGGTGTATAAGAGTCTCCCGCTCAACCCCCTTGGCAGGAGCCGGTGTAATACCCCCCTTCCTTGTTTTGCCCCTTGTCCTCTCCTTTCTCTTCATCCCCCTCCAGACTCCATTCTGGTGTCCCGGGCTTCACCTTACTCATTACAAAGCACAGTTTTCCCAGTTGAATTTTTCACGGTGCCCACCGCTGGCTACCGAAGACTTCCTTACCTTCCTCCTAGATTTCTCCTCTGTGGGCTGCGCAGAGTCAGAATGAAACCCACAAGGTGAATGCGTGGGTTAAAAAAGCTTTTATTTCCTCAACTCCACGTCTCCCTACGTAGTTACTACGTCACAGGGCTGTCTTTGTCCCTCAGGCTGGATCCTCTCCATCCGCACAAGAGCGCCCGGCAGGGTCAGGAACCCCCTCCCCAGGAAAACCACATGAAATCCATCTCCCCAACAGGCGTGCGTGTTACGCAGCAATTCCTTGCAAACTGCTGCCCATCAGGAGGAACCGAGTTTCTGCTTTAAAACAACAGGATGAATTTACCCATCTGGCCCTAAACAAGCAAGTGTTTTATTTCAACTTCTATATTAAATCATGATACTTTTCTTTCCAAAGCACCTTCTCTTCAACTGTTGGAATATCTTTATTTCTCCCACATATTTTTTTTTTAATTTCTTCCCTCTTTTTTTTTTTTTCTCTTCGTTGTTTTCACGGTGATACCACACTCCTCACGCTGCCCCTTGTCGTGCAGCCGTTGCTACACCACGTACAGCCGGGAGAGCCCGGCCCTCAGGACTGGGCGGCGTCTGAGGCAGCGACTCGTCACCGCCTTCTGCCTCGGCTCAGCAAAGTCGCGTCGCTGAGGAAACTGAAGAAAGAAAGAAAGCGAAACCGGCTCCGGCGGCGCCTTCCGAGAGGGAAAAACCGCGCACCGCCGGCCGGGCCGGGCCGCCGGGCCTCCCCGCCTCCTAAAAAAAAAAGAAAGAAAGAAAGAAAGAAAGA